TGGAGTTCCCAGCCTCCTCCTTCCTCCCATCCTCCCTGATACCTGGCCCCTATCTGTAGGAGTCCTGTTCTACAGAGTTCTAAATGTCATAGATGTTGTGAGCGGAGCTGGCTGGAGTCGGGGGTTAGACTAGATGGCCTGGAAGACCCCTTCTGTCTTGATGTTTTTATGTTTCTATGGCACTAGTTCTCAGTAACCACATCAGCAACAATAGAGCATTAGCCTTGTTCTGGCCTGGCATAGGGGGGCAAGTGTCCATTGCTCTGGCAGGGTCCCCCATTGCTTATTCTATGCCTGCCTCCACCCAGCATGCCTTGCCATTCCCCCACCCCATTCTGGATACATGCATGCAAACAGAATTGATCTCGTGGTCCTTTTATCCCAATGGCCGCTTCTCCCAATCACCCCAAGCTTCCTCTGTTTCAGGAGCCTAATGCAGGTGGGAAAAAGTAAATTTTGTCTTGCTATTCATAAATATTTGGGAGTTAGAAATATTTCCTGATTTACTTCCATTCACTGAATCATCAACTGGTATGTCCAGTCTACCTTCTAGTTAGATTGTTAATCTGAGAGTGGGGATTATCTCATGAGTGGCCTCTATACACTCCTCTGGGAGCTTTTTTCAGCTGAGGAGCATGGCAAAATGGCTTGAAATAAAATAATGTTGGGGGGGGTGCATGCAGGAACGAGTCTACTATAAGCTCCAGTCTCTGGCTTTGTAAGGTTTGGAGGAAGATTTTGAATCCATTCCTCCAGACTCCACAGACTTGCTCTCAAGCTCAGCTCAGTCCTGCAACATGAGCCCACCAAGAGGTAGTCTGTGAATGCTTGTGGGCCCCAGGTGCAAACCTGGCCACCTTCCCCAGCTGCCATTCCTGGCAACCAAACTTCTTCCTCACTTACTGCCACTGGCAGCAGTGTGGGGCTCGATTTCTGGTGGGCCCCCCATGAACCCTGGATTGCTCACCAAGAAGTTTGACTCTGGACCTCTGCAAAGCAGATTGCAGTCCAGGAAGCCAAAACCAGGGAACCTGGCAGATTCTCCCACCAAAAACACAGATTCCTTGCACATCCCTGGTTTGGAGTATCTCTTTTATGCAGTTGACCACAAGGCACATACATGCACATGAAAACACACAGAGTTCTCTTGGGTTTTCCTTGTGAGAAGTCAGGTTTCTTTATTTGCAAAAGGAACTGTGAAAATCTACAGCAAAGAATGGCTAATCTTTTAGAAAAGTCATTCAAGAAGACATGACGAAAACACGGTGAATGGTTCTGGAGATCTGTGCTGAAGGACTGCTCTAAGGACCACTTTTACCACTGTAAAAGAAAAGAAACATTGGCATGAATTCATATTTAGAAATAGCCATAGTAGAGCATGGTAAACAACAACAATGTTGATTTTCAGCTTGGCTTGGAGCAGAAGGTTCTGTTTAAGTCCTGCTTGCAGTGGCAACACTGGGGTCTTGCTACAAATGGTGCTATGATGCTCATGTTGTGGACCCTGCTCTGGTGCAGAGCCTGTGCTTAAGTATGCGGTACACGCTGCTGGTCCTTCCCAAGCACCCAGCAGTGGTGAGCAGATGGAGGTTCCCCATTCACTGGCAGCATGTCTGACCCCTTTCATCCCAAAGGATAGAGTCAATTTCAGAGACGCTGTTAGGAGTCACAGTCCAGTGGAGGGCAGATCAGAAAGCAAAAGGGATGGGACCAAAGGCGAAAGGCCAAAATTAGCAAAAAGCCTGCACAGTTAAGCAGAAAGCTCTTCCTTCTGGGAGCTAAGCCTTTGGAGAAGCACTGAGAAGTGGCATTGGGAAATTTTAGAACTGGGGGTGGAGGGACTGCACAAAGGCTAACACCCAAACATCCACGATGCAGGAAAGATATGGAGTTAGGTAAAGGGCTCATGGGGAACCTGGAAGGCCAGTTTGGGGCTTCAGGTGGGGCAGATCTCACCATGGGCTTGGCATTCATCACTTCTGCAGTACACCTCCCAAGTACCGATGCTAAGGGAAACAGCAGAGGATGTCCACTGCTCTCTGTTTTTCGCATGAACTTCTTAAACACTTGCTAAGAGCCTGTTCAACAGACTCATGTGCTCTGAGCAGATTCAGACCTCCCCCACTGCTCTGCACCTCTTCAACGGGAATCCTCCATGTCTGGAGGGTTCTCTCCATGGGTCACCACTACAAACAGCTTGTTGGACTATCAAGGTAAGATGGGTTCAAATTTGGTTTTCCCTAGAATTTACCAAAATTTGCAAAGTCCTATGGGGTGCCTCTATTGCCTGGTCAGGTATTGTCAGGTATTGACTGCCTCTGGAGGTCAGGCAGACACGGACACTGAGTTGCTTTCAGTGGCTCCTGAACACACTCAGCCTCGAGACGCCCTCTTTGGATGGCTAGTTACTGCTTTGATCAAGATTCCATTTTAATGTTGTTTTGCTCTTGCTATCTTTAAAAAATCCCTCTTATTGTTTACTGACCTGAAATCAGTTTAAGTGCAGAAAGCTATAGGAACATTGCAATTAAATATGGAATACAAAAACATGTTATTGACAAAGGCCTGGCAGCAGCTGATTTGCACTGGAGGATAATCTCTGCTTCACTTTGTCCCCGAATTGTGTAACTTGATTCAATGTAATTTAATCAATTTAATTTCAACTACTACTCACGTAGATACGAGATGGATAATCGGAATTCTGCATGGAAAAACAGAACAAAGTAAAAGGTTATTCCTTGCTCATACCTTATCCAAATCTGCAATCTATGAGTTCATGTAGCAGCAACCAACTCTTGGCTTGGGGAGCACCCAAACAAGAATCCGTCCTCTGCGAGCTGAACCACAGGGGAAGTTTCTATCCGCTTTATCAGTACTTATATGGCAGCATTATTTAGCATGGCAGCCATCCTTGTGAAGTAAATGCTGTTCATTTCAACTGAATTAAATTTTATGTGGAGAAGGATAGGGTGAGAATGGACCGACTTTGCTTGCACTGAGCCAGTTGTCCATTCAGAGCACTCTGTAGCACTTCCTCTGTCCCCTTGGGGAAGATATACGCAAATGGGGACAATGCAGAGCCGTGAGAATTGGAGTGGTGGTAGAGGCAGTGCGCAGTACATGGACCGCACGTGGCCCGTCCCTGGGCTTTCGAATTGCAAACCCAGAAAGCTGAGCCTATAACCAGCTACCAGACCCATAAGAAAGTCTGTCCAGCCGGTTGATCAACAAGGCCGGCCAGTTTGCCCACTTACGCCATTGTTGTTGAAGCTGTTGCCACTGGCTGAGTTGCCGTTGAAGCTGTTAACGTTCTGTGGAAAGAACACAAGAGGATGCATTAGTGCCTCTGAGCACTGCCGGCACCCGAAACTCTTCCTGTGTATTCTGGCTTTGGCCAGCCATGGCCTGGTTACATCATGGCAGGCTACTGAAATATGTTCTGTCAAGAAGATTCAAAGGGTTTATATGCAGCAGCTAAGCTGCTAATAGGCACATGGTTATCAGGAACATAGACGCTCACTCTTTGGTTTCTGGGCTCAGCAAAGGGACGTTTTCAGCTTTAAATGGGATGTGCAACACTGGGAAACTCATTGAGTTTGAGCTCAGCAAAATTTTAGCATATTTCTGGACCGGCAGACTGAGTCTCTCTAGTGGAATTTGCACAACCCGTGGCTGATTCGTCAGAACTGAGTCATTGTTGTTGCGTTTGCCATGAGAAGAATGGGTGCATCCTGCTCTCCCTCCATATGCAAGAAGTTCAGCTCTGACCACCTTGAATTTTCCAACAGTTAATCTCAGATTTGTTAAATAGTTGGGCTTCCACTCTGCAAATTGTGCAAATTTGTGTGAACTGCAGAGTGGGGAGGGCTCCAAGTTTTGCACCAATTTCCCTGGCTTAAGAAAACACACACACACACACTATGACCTTCTTTTAAAAATGGAACTCAGCATCCTTTCCTGGCTCATTTCAGAATGAGAGTGCAGTTCCAGAACAATGGCCAGAGCAACTGAGCTCACAAAGGGACAAATTCAGCACCTGCTGAAACCTGATGGTGTAACTGTGAGAAACGCACATGCCTCATCCCATTTTTTCATCCTGTGGCCCAATCTGGGGCACATGATTCAGCATCGCCTTATGTTACATTGACTTTACTAAATGGAACAATAACAGACAACGATTCCAGAATCTGTTGCAAGATGTTGAAACCAAGGAAATTTGTCTTCAGTGGCACTAATGTATCTGCTGAGAAATCCATTTATCCTCTTTTACCATCCATGCACCCAGTTTTCCCACTCAGTGCTTCTAGGCGTCTTGCCCAAATATCAATTTCTTCAAGGCAGTTATGCCAGTTTTCCAACCCAAAATGATGGCCAACAATGTTTCCCTTCTGTGAGTGTTGGGCCTGCCATGAATTTGGAATCTGTATGCATTTTTCGGACATTGGATGAAAGAAGGAAGGAGAGACACTTGCAGGTACTTACTCCTGGATCAGCTACATAGACATTCTGCAATTAAAAATGGGGGAAGTGTTAGGAATGGTCACAAGTATCTAAGCACACAGCCCCTTGATTTTCATTTTTAAGCCCTGATGACAAGTGTCATATCCTGACGACCAGGATGCACTGTCCCGACAGAATTCCATACGTGAAGTGAAGAAGGGATAACTGATATGCTTCTTGATTTAATGCAAGTTTTTGGACCACCTCGTGGGGACCAACTTCTAATTTCTTTAAAAAATCCAATTATTTTGTCTTTTCTCCATTTTGAACCATTCTATCTAGAGTGATTCACCAACATGTGTTTTTAATGCATCCTTTCCCCCAGCTCCTTATCTGAAGTTTTCCATCATCACCTGCTCCTTTTCCATACGTTCATTTTCCAGTGGAACTAACCCCAGGAGAGCCCAGCTGGATCCTACAGCTAAGTTCTACTTCCCCGCACCCCTCGCCCTGAATTTTAAATGGTAAATGCCACCTGCAAAACTTTTCCTCTTCTTAATTCCCATCTATCAGTTGCATACCCTGAGGCTGCTCTGGAGACCTGGCTTTCTTCACGGCACAAGAGATTCCGGTACTCATACTTACGCCATTGCCCTTCCCTCCTACACCGTTGCCACCAAATACATTGTTTTGATCAATGGCGCCTCCATTCTGGAAAGAAGAAGCAGGAAAACCAACTCATTAGGTGGATGGATGACAATGCTCCTGCCCACTTCTGGTTCAGTGTTTGGAAGCAGGTGGAGTCAGATTTCAGAAGTCCAGAAACTTCTGTCTGTAGAACAAGCATCCCTCTTCAAACCACAACTGCAAACTTTGCAGACCAGCTCCTGCAAGGCCCTTGCATGTGCTCAGAACCATTTCTGCCGCAGTGCTAAGCCCTGGGCTGGAGGTGCTGTTTTGCTTAAAAAAAAAAAATCTTGCACAAAGCAGCACCCAAAAAGATATCAGTTGGCAATACTTGGGGAAATAGAGCTAAGCCATGCATTTTATGTGTGCTGCTTTGTGGATAAGTTCACACCCGAAAAAAATAAATAAATATGGCATTGCCATAATGCACTAGTTGCATTAAAGTCGTGCATTTGGAAAACTTCTGGTGGCAGTACTGAAAAGTAGATGGGAGGCTGAGAAGTAACAGTTGCAGCAGGCAGGCAGCGAAGTACACCGAGAGACTCTGTCCAAAGTGGCAGCTACAAGCTCTCATCAAAGAACCCCCAGGACATCCTTCCCTTGGACACTCCACACGCCCCTGTTCGCTTCCAGATGGAACTGAAACAATCACGTTGGGAACTTCGTTCTTTCAGGTGTTTGGACTAATGGTGTTGGCCATTATCCCAAAATAATAATGGGGTTATTATTTTTGTATTTATTTCAGTACCTGCAAATTTCAGTATCTATTCATTCATCTGGAGGTAAGTATGGCCTAACATTGATTATTTGAAGGTAAGGAAGGTAAGGAGGAAAAGCAGTTTGGGATACTTACTCCTGGAGCAGCTAAGTAGACATTCTGCAATAAAACATGGGTGTAAGTGTTAGCAACGGTCATGGGCATTTAAGCACCCAGCCCCTTGACTCTAACTTTTACGTATTGATGAACGATCATATTCCCACTGCAAATATACATTGTCCCTACAAGATTCGGTTCATGCAGATGCAATTACATATTTATTTTCTAATAAATAAGGTATGAGCCATCTGCTGGAACCCTCTTTTAAATAAATAAGGGTGCCAGGTGAGTCTGTCCTTCCTTCATTTCTTTCAGGAGCTACATTCCAGAACATTGTTGTGATGCAGCTTCTCTCTCTCCCCATTCTTAAGTTCTACAGCAACCTCATCTTCTTTTCCATAAATCTATGGCACCCCCTACTGGAACTAAGTCCCAGTGTGTGTGTATAGAGGGAATGACAGAGAGAGAGAGTGAGACAGAGACAGAGAGATGGAGAGAGAACATTTCTTGAACTGGTAATTTTTGTGTATGCCTTGCATTGAATTTTAGATAGTAAATTCCATCTGGTAATTTTTTCTTTTTCTTAGTTCTCATCTGCAAGCTGTGCACTCTAAGGATGCTGCGGAAGAACTTACAGAGGAGAAAGGGGAATCAGCTAAAGGTCTGTTGCAATGCTAAGGAAAGATTTTGACCCCCTGCAGGCTAGGTAGTCTTCACATTGCAAGAGAATTCCGGTACTCATACTTACGCCATTGCCCTTCCCTCCTACACCGTTGCCACCAAATACATTGTTTTGATCAATGGCGCCTCCATTCTGGAAAGAAGAAGCAGGAAATGCAACTTGCTAGGTGCATGGATGATGCAGGGGGAAGCTTTTTAGCAAGTGGGAGGTGGGCAGAATTTGGACGGAAGAAACTAAGGTAGCTGTTCCCTCATAAGGCCATCTCAGATGTGTTTTCAGAACATACACTGCTCATAGGAACTTTCAATACTGCAACCTAGAGAGCCAGTCATTACTTTAAAACCATATCTGAGTCTCTCTGGTAAATGACCCACTCCAGGAACTGGATAAGTGGGGCATGGCCTTCCTTTTTTGGGTGACTTCCCAGCAACATTTAAGACTCTCAACCATGGTGTACGAACACTGACTTCTTCAAAACCTTTAGAATATTTTTCCAACCCAAAGGAATTCCCAAGGATTCCGCCCCCCCGCCCCCCGTTTTTAAGCTCGTGCCACCTACATCATAGACAACATCTTTAGGATATTTTGGAAGTCTGCTAAAACCCAAAAACTCATCTTAAGGTTTAAAAGGCTCTTGATGTTGGGTGACTTGAAGATACTTACCCCTGGTGCAGCTGCATAGATGTTCTGCAGGTGAAAAAGAGAGATGTGTGAATGCCCACAGGCAGCCAAGATTCTTCAAGGTTAAAAGAAGTATAATTGATATAAGGAGAATAAAGCAATGTCAATGAGCTGAAGTGCAAAGGAATTTCAAGTGCTGGTACTCACGCCGTTGCCGTTGCCTCCTACTTTGTTGCCACCCCATAAATTATTCTGGTCAATGTCACCTCCATTCTGAAAAGGAGCAGAAAGTGCATCTTATGAGGAAAAGCAAAAAAAACTAGCTGGAGTCTGGCCATAGTTGAGACTTATGAAATGGGGTAGGGAAGTGTTGCTGCCAGGTGTATATCTAGAATGCACATCACCATATTAAATGATGGGTGTAAATCAATACCGATAGAAACTGAACTTTTTGAATTATGGACTCCCAGATCAAGAGGTGTAGCTACTGCATAGAACTGAGTCCTAGCAAGCTTCTTCTGAGGAAACAAACATCATTTAGATCTCAAGGCAGACATACATCCAAGATATCTAGCTTAAGTGAGGACTGCAACCAAACTCTGAAGTGTGGAGTATCCATGTTCATATTCTTGGCCAGCCATCCAGCTGCTGATCTGCACAATATGGATTAAAATCTTCTGCACTGTGCACATCACTTTGATGGCTCTCGCTATTACATCAAGATACCACGTTCCTGCACCAATTGCAAGGCATCAGGTTGGAAAACACATGCCAACATTAACTTTCTGAAAAGTTTCAGATCTCATTTCCAGGCAAATACATATATGTGACTGCTGGCATGGCTTATACATCAAACTAGCATATTGAGCCACATTAGCTAAGCTGGAAAGGTACAGGCCTGCGGCTGGATGAGTGACCACAATGGGGAAACAGAGCAGGGACCTGGACTCCATTGCCTTGTCGGCTCCTTCCAACCCTACTACTATTCTCCTCTCCTCTCCTCTCCTCTCCTCCCCTCCCCTCTCCTCCCCTCA